GTGATCGATGCGGTTCGGGGCACGAGCGGTGTTACCTGGCGGCTTCTGAATATTATTGAGGACGTCAAGAATATTGCCAGGTCCTTTGAGTGTATCTCGTGGGCACATGCTTTTCGTGAAGCAAATTTTCTGGTAGATGTAGGCATTCAGTATGATACCTTCACATCTGCGATAGATCCTTACCGTCTTTTGCCTGTAGAGCCTATTATTTGATTGTATCGGAACTAGTTGTTCTCGGGGAGATTCTATTTAATAAAAGAAAAAACTCTGCCATCAACATCAGGCTTGGCGACAGTCACCTGTCGGTCAAACCTCCCAGGCCTCAACAAAGCCGAACCAAGAACATCCGGCCTTCCCTCTCGCCGCCCATCCCCGCCTCTCTGCCTACCCACCTCATCTATCTCATCAGTGAACACAATACACGACGCCTTCAACTTGGCCTTCTCGAACAAGTCCAACACTCTCGACGCCCTCACTTCCCACAAACAACTCCACGAACTCCGAAGCCGCGCACGAGAAAAACATCGTCTTAGCCTCGCCGGCCACGGCACGAGTCAGAAGGGTTTTCACAATACAGATGGCCCCACCAGAAGAATTTTGAATTTTTTTTTCAAGTTTTTAACTATAAAAAAGATAAAATTGTTTTTTTTCATTATTTAATTTTTTTAATCTTCGTGGCAATATTTAATTAGACTTGTGGGATTTCGTATGTGGCACATAAGCACATAACTGAAGTTTTAATACAATTGTGACAAAAGGAACACATTGATTGACAACGCCTATTTTTAAGGAGTACATTGATTAATTTTTAATTTCAAGGACCATCTTAATAGAGTAGGTCAATTTTATGGACCATTTGTGGTTAAAACCCTAAATAAATGATAATCCATGGACATAAACAAATAAGGGGCTTTTAGATCCAAGTCCAAAAACGTAGACTGTCTTTAGGAATGAGTCCAGTTATCTAATTATATGTTTTTATTTCTTTTATACTCATTTTATATTTTCTAAAAATATTAAAAATCAATTAAAATTTTCTAATATTATGCATTTTCCAACTCCAAAAGAATATATTTAATATCTTATAACAAAAAAACTAATATACTAACATGAATTTATCTGCAAAACATTCTACCCTGACTCAAGTAACAAATATATGAATGTATATAATACCTATACGTGAGATATGAAACCTAATTAAAAGGTAGAAAACAACATAACATACCTACAAGCAAGACACATTAATCTGTGACAGGTTGATTATAAAAAAAGAATCTGTCATATAGGTAGATAATTACAATTAACCTGTGATATAGGTTGATTATAAAAATTAAAAATAAAATCTATAAATGGGGTTTAAAGTAGAAGGAAGAACGAGAAATAACATAAAGATAAATGAAAAGAAATAAGCAAAGAGATAATTGGGAAGAAATTTGATTTTTATAATAAATGTTATCATTGAACAGATAACTATTAATAATTAAATAATTAAATATAACAAATTGAACTTATTTTAATAAATTGGACTATTCCTACTATTGGCTCAAAAAATTAAACTTATATCAAGTTTCCCCAACAAAAATAAAGGTGTGCAGCAAGCAAAAAATACTTGCGGATATCACTTACAATATCATACAAAATTACCTAATCAAAAACACACATTATATACATGCGTATATGAATATACATATATATGGTACTTCGTTTTTTCTCCCTCAACAATTTTAGGGACTACCTCTACATTCAAGGGGTAAGTTGTCCAGCCATGAATCATCCAAAAGTGGGGCAGAAGAATCCAACTCAGTAGGCCATTGAGAACTTACATCGACTTCATCAAACACAATGGGTTTGCATTTCCCATCTCTGTGGTGATAAATAGACTGCAACCAAAGGTTGCAGTGTACGAAAACCAGATCATTGAATTTTTCCAGCTCTCCTCGGTTGTGTTTCTTGCTGTGCATGCTCTCGAAGGTGGTCCAGTTCCAACAGCACCAATGGGAGCTACATGGTTGGCTCAGTATCCGTATTGCACATCTCTGGATTGTGGGAATTTCATAACCATAACCTGCCCACCAATCTCCTGTAAATGTATGAGAAATGTTAGATCCATACCCTACGTTTTTGAACAAATATAGACCAAAATAACAAAGAAGAGCTACTGTCCTATGACAGATGATTGGAGAAGAAAAAGACCATTAATCAGTCTTAAAGCTCGTTTGGGACTGTTATGGGAAACACTTTTGCTTATAAACGCTTTTACTAAAAGTCCTTTTCTTAGAAACAAGTTGAATTTTTTTATTAGAAACTCAGGCTCTTCCTGGAAAAGCACTTGGAAAGTGCTTCTCTATAAAGCGATCCTATAAAACAAAGAATTTTTTTAAAGTCTTTATGCCAAACGTAATCAAAAGAACTTTTTGTTGTTAGATGAAGCTTAACGCCATTCTAGAAGCATCACGAACAAGCCCTTAAAGGGGAACAGAGAAAGTACATGTTCAATACTCAAAATTGGTCTGTCAGACCTGTTTCACTTAACACAGAAATAAAAACAAATAACAAAAAACGAAATAGTAATCAAGCAGGCCATAAGTAGTCAAATTGCATTATGTTGGCAACCATAATTATATAACCAGCACATGCTTCAAATTTTTTTTGTTTTATTAGTACTTTGATAATAATTGCAAGTTTACATACCTGGCGAATTCAGTGTCCTTCCCAGGATTGCAAAATCCGTCCCAAAAGCACCTTGTGCATTAACATACATAGGATGTTCTTTTGTTACTTCCATTCTATCGTCATGTGTGGTAGCCATCCTCAACATAGTTTCTTGAAATCCATTTCTCATCCTTAAATCAATCTTAAAGTTTGGACTGTAGAATACCGAAGGGTTAAGGGAAGCTGCCGCTGCATGCAAGGATGAGTGAAGCTGCATATTCCATCTCTGATCAATTATATCCCAGATCAGCATATATTTCTCTTCGATACCCTTATAATGGGTCTTTATTGCAACTTTTGCCCACTCTATTCCTTCATACATGTACCCCATAGCTGGCATATCCCCGTCAACAACCCTAAGGATTTTAAGTAGCGGTTCAGAAATACTCACAGCTTCTCGTGCATGCTTCCAAAATCTCTCTAAATACAACGACGACTTAATAGCTTGAGCCTCAGGGTGTCTGCTGTATACTGAAGACAAGGAAAACATGTGCTTTAGATTGTCCTCCTGAATCACAATGGACCTCAAGGTGAGGAAATTAGTCACGAATCTAGTAATTTTTGGCCTTAGCAATTCCATTCCACCAGTGAATTTTCTCATCGTACTCAAAGTCCATGGATGACTGTATAGGAACCTAGCGATGGTCTTTGCCTCTTCCAGAACAGTAGCTACCCACTCCTGTTTACCGATATCCTCCAGCATCTTATTAATACAATCAGACGCACAAGGAGACCAAAACAATGAGTTGTACTTGGCCATAAGAAGTCTTCCTGCGTAAACACAACTGGCAGTAGTATTCGTTATAACTTGCACAACATTCTCAACACCTACCTCCAAGACAACAGACTCAATCAGCTCAAACAAGTAAGTAGCATCGTCTTCATGACCCGATACATCAACTGACTTCAGAAACAGAGTTCCCTTCGGATATGTAACTGAGAATATTACAAGTGATTTGTTCCTACCATCAGATCAGCTATCACATAAGATAGTGCAACCTGTTTCTTTCCATTCATCTCTGCATTTCTTGTAGCAATCATGTATATCACCTTTGACTTTTTCCAGAAGAGAAGATCGTAGGCTTTCGTAGCTTGGGGCTTTGTAGTCAACCCCACAATCTGCTATAGCATCCACCATTTCCTGATAATATATGGATTTAGCAGCACTAAAAGGGACAGAATTGTGGATGAAAAACCCATCAATTTTTTTATCAGCAATATCCTGCTTTTGCTTTTGAGCATCACCCACTTCTAGGTGTGCCACCGGTGAAGGGCACGGAAACAACAAAGACGGGGATGTGCTTCCATTTTGTCCGCTAGTCCCATGGTTAGGATGGAAGCCACCACTAGCAGAGGAGCTATTCTGTTGACCATTGGCTGCAAGTGCCTTATCAACCCTTGGTTTCTTGGGAGTTTTCTGTTTCTTTGGAGTGCTTATTATGCTTAAAATGTTATCCCGCACATCAGTCGGAACTTCTGTGCAGGGGACTATATCTTTGTTTTTAATTTGAGCTAAGTGAAACTTCATTCTGTATACGCCTCCACTGAACTCCCGTTGACAATAATTACACCTAACCTTCTGCTTTGTTGCATCAACCAGGACACAGTGTTCCCAACATGCATCTCTTCCACGAACCATTATCTTTGACAACAAAAATGCAATAACTATTATTTCCATTCAAATGAATATAAATGTTACAATACATTGCAGTAATTGTCCTATAAAGGCATTATTTGATGCAAGAGAAGAAGAAAACAAATAGTTTGAAATGTCTTCCAGAATGACATTCTATATTCAAACACCTACTTGCCATTACCTGGATCTCCCAACAATTGTTTATCATTCATTGTTACATGGTAAAAGGAAAGCACCTAAGCATGCTAAATTGCTAATTCAATCCAAGTATCCATCTCTACCTAAGGTTTCACTAACTTTACAACCCCATTCCTCGTTTCCATTATCTAAGTTTGAACTGAAACACCATTAATAGCAAATGCATCTTCGCAAATTTTTGTTTGTTTGTTCATTTATTTTCTGTATAAGCAACTAAAACAAGAAATTCACACGGAAGATGTCCCACCTCTGTACCGGATCCATACAAACGAAGTCAAGTAATAGAATACAATGCCAGTTAAATATGCACAATTTGTTACACATTCTTTTGTCACAATGATTAACTTGGGAACTCTAATATCTCACTCAGTTTGTGCAAACTCAGTTGTGTTGGAAAAGTGTTAGTCCCACCCACCACCATATCCTATGCAGAGAAAGATTCCATCTATTATGTTACTGTACTAATCTGTGCACTCCATCCATCTTCTTTGTCTCAAATTCAAATCACGCTAAGCAAATATACACTTAAGATTACCACACACAAACAAGCCTTTAAAGGGGAACTGAGAAAGTAAATGTTCAATACTTAAAATGACCTGTCAAACATTTTCACTTAACGCAAAATTGAAAACAAATAACCAAAAATGAAATAGTAATCTAGCAGGCCACAAGCAGTCAAATTGCATCATGTTGGCAACCATAATTATATAACCAGCACATGCTTCAATTTTTTTTATATTACAACTATTGTTCAAAATAAGCAAACCAGGCTCACTCTTTATAGGGATTAGGTAAGGATTAGGACGTTTGTTACACCTAGCTATTTCAGACTGGATTAGCTTTAGAGATTAAGCTAGACTGGATTAGCCTAGACTAAGCAGGATAAAAATAGTGAAGTGTTTCGTGCAGTGCTGGACTAAGTCTCGGACTAAAATATTTTAGTCCCAATTTTTTTATTCCATTTTGCAATGGAACTAGACTTCGTAATTTGCCACTATCCTACAAAACGTTGCCGTATTACCTTCTCTGTCTCCTTCTTTACAAAAAACATAAACCACAACCTCTGCACATACCAAACTGATTTGAATTTCACCTTCGAGTTGTACATTGCCAATTTGACGTCCATGGAGACCTTAAGTGACTGGAGGTAGTTGGCAAAGAGGAGGAAGAGAAACTCGACTTTTGAGAGGTTTGGATCCGGGTACGAAAGATCTGATAGGGCGATTTTCGAGACGTTAAAATCCAGGTGGCCTTTGTGGGGTGAACGAACTCATTGAATGGGATTATTGGGCGCCAGCCAGATCAGATTAAGGAGAATCAAATCTCGGCGGAGCAAAAAAAAAAGAAAAATAGGAGAAAGAGGAGGAGAGGGAGAGATAATTGGCAAAGGGGGAACGATGATGGCTGGGTTTGTGAAAACATATAGCAGAGAGAGACGTGAGGCAGTTAGTCATCGCAAACCCCCTGGTTCTTGATAGGCCTCGCCAACGAGAGAGTTTTTCCACGCGTGTTCCCTTTAGTCTCATTTAACTTAGTCCTTGCACTTAACAAACACAGGATTACATTAATATATAGTCCAATCCAGTCTAGTCTAGTGATAGTTAATGAGGCCAAACAAAGGCGTGGGATTATGGTGACGAACATAAGAAATAAAACATGTCAAATGACAAGAAAAGAAAACCGTAAAAAGAGGAAGACAAGTTTGAGGTTTCAATAACAAATGCTCTTACACCATCAAAAGAGGAACATAAGTTCGGTATAAATTCAGAGTCAAATTGATTACACAACATATTTTATTTTGACAAGAGAACATTATAGTAAACATGCGGTTTTCAAGAAATTTTTTTGGGCTAAGTGGGTATCATTTATTACAAGTGAAGTATTCCAAGGAATTTGGTAGCAGCATTGTTTTACTTATAGAGTGCTAGATCTGATAACCTTGGAGTTGGGATGGCAACCAAAGGAATCTTCTTCTTCAACACAATCCCAAATTTCTCAGAAAGATCCAACTTCTCTCCCTCTGGCAATTTCCAGTCAAAAGAATGCAAAAGTGTAGCAAGTGACTGCATCACCATCCTCTCAGCCATTGCAATCCCAGCACACATTCTTCTACCTGACCCAAATGGAAAATAGTTGAAGTTTTTCCCACTGTAGTCCCATTTGCTATCCAAGAACCTCTCCGGCTTGAACTCCAATGGGTTTTCCCAAATCGAAGGGTCTCTGTGTATAGCCCAAACGTTGACAAAAATCCGAGATCCCTTGGGAATGGTGTAGCCTCCCACAATGCAATTTTCACTTGGGCAATGAGGGATTAACAAAGGCACTGATGGGTGCAAGCGCAAAGTTTCTTTCATCACAGCTTGTAAGTATGGCAATTTGTCGATGTGGGACTCTTCTACAATGTTGTGTTTGCCAACTACATCTTCTAACTCTTTCCGGGCTTTTTCCATCATCTCTGGCTTGTTCATGATTTCAGCCAGTGCAAACTCAATTGTGTTGGAGGAATTGTCAGTCCCACCCACAACCATATCCTGTGTAGAGAAAGATACCACATTATTATGTTATTGGACTAATTTGTGTACTCCATCCTTCTTTGTCTCAAATTCAAATCACGCTAAGTAAATATACACTTAAGACTTTTAATGGACAACGAGTTGTATGCTAAGAAGTCAAAGTGTGATTAAAACTTCAATCTCAAAGCTTAACTGTCACAACTCCAGTAGCCTTGAATGACTATCTCATGAAAAATACTTGTAACTAAAGAGCAATCTAACCAAACCAGAACACCTACTTACCATTTGGGATTTTAGTGAATCTTCATCATCTTAATCTAAAGATAGTTCTCAAACGGAAGAGTAACTATAACAAGTATTCCTAGTGAGTCCATAGAGAATTTTAACGAAAAGTTTCTGGTACAATCCACTTTAACGAAAAACTATATTTTTACACTAAAAAATCAATCCTGGTACTATTCACTTTGCCCTTTATTTTGTCATTCTCGTTACAACTTAAAGTTTTCAAACCCTTTTCATTAGTTTTCCTGACTCCATATTTGAGCTTTTCATCCATGACACCACATTCGGAATTGTGACCATCACCTGACCTACTATTTTAATGTTATGTTCTCATCATACGCCATTCGTGATTTTGTCATACTCATCACATAGCTGGAAGTTATATAGGAATGAGGATCGGTAATCTCATCAACAAGAAAAAATGTACTGAAAAAAAAACCCATTAATTGAACACATCCAAAACTAACAACACAATAAAACGTTGGAACTTTTAGAATTGTTTTTTTATTGAAATAAGTTCGACAAATTTCATAAAATTTCACAAATTGCAGGCCAATCATCAATCAAGTACAAACAACAAAACCATCGAGATTCTCATGGACCAAATGCAAGGGTAGGCACAAACTTCCAACTAGAAATCAGTTATTATGTGATAACTATTTATTTTGAATTTATTTGGAAACTTGTTTGACCACCCCAAATGAAAACTGAATCAGAAATTCAAACTGAAAGCTATTTTTTTTAGTTTTCAAACTTTACCTTTCCATTTTTAGTTAAGCGATTCTAGAAACATTTACTAAACAAGTTTTCTGTGAAAATAGATCAAATTTGTAGATTAAATGATGTGTCAGCAATACAAAATAAACACGTTAATCTACATTTAGTTAATAATAATTAAAAAAAAGAAAAGAATTGAAAACCAAAACTAAAACCTTGCGACAAATTCAGTCAATCAAAAATTTACTAACCATAAGCAAAGCTTTGAGATGAGACATGGTGAAAGGCGTCTTGGAATCTCCTCCCTCCTCCTTAAACTTCAACAAAAACGTTAAAAAATCCTTATTGCTCTCCTCCTTCTCTCCTTCCTTGTCAAGCGCCAGCCGTTGATCTATTATCTTCTCAAATATCCCATCAATCCTCCAGGCCAACCTGCTAACCTGTTTCACCAACCCCTGTAAATCAAACGGGGCCAAACCCGGATAAAAGTCTGAAACATTCGGCTTCCCTATAAGCTTCGTCATCTCCAACACCACTTCTCGAAACTCCGCCCCGGGCCCCGCCCTCACGTCCTCCTCCACGGTTCTGCCCCACAGCATGTTCGTAATAACATTCAGCGCGTTCAGGAACATCTGCTCCCCCACGTTGACCCGCGACCCGATCCGATTGTAGAAATACCTGACAGTCTGTCGGAGCTGTTTCCTCCGGAGCGCATACACCGTGTCGAGAGCGGTGTTGCTGAGCATTTTCAGCATGCAGACTTTCCTCAACATCCGCCATTCCGGTCCGTACGAAGTCCACGCGATGTCGATTCCCCCGTACGTCGCGGCCCGAGCCGCGACAGGGACGTCGCGGTTGGCGAAGGTGGCGTCATGGTCCCTGAGAATCTCGCGAGCGGAGGAAGGGGAGGTAACCACAACGCCGACGATGTTGCCGAGGCGGAGTTTGAAGATTGGGCCGTGGGATTGGGCCAGGCCCATGAAGTAGGAGTGGAGTTCTGGGTCGAGGGAGAGGAGGTTCCCGACCAAGGGCAGGGCCCGCGGCCCAGGTGGCAGAGGCGGGTACGGGTTGTTAGATTTTCTGACCAGCCAGAGGTACAGAAAGACGAGGAAAATGGCAGAGATGAAGGTCAGCGAAGTTTGATCGGATTGAGACCACAACGAATACAAATAGTTGGAATGGGAATGGGAATCGAATGCCATTGCTGTGTACTGTACTACTGTGCAGCGTTTGGGAATGGGAGGAGGACTGGGTTAATATAATATTTAGTCGTCCGTATGGATAATTTAATATTAAATGAAATTGGCACTTAGCTAGCACAACATTGTTATATAACAATTTATTAGTGATAGACTCATCCGAAAGAGGGCCACATACACCATTATTCAATAGCCGCCATGTCACATCCCGGCCCGGAACCACATACACCATTATTCAATAGCCGCCATGTCACATCCTGGTCCGGGGCGGATCACTTCCTAGGTCCGCTCCACCACCTTAGCACGATATTGTCCGCTTTGGACTTACCATTCCCTCACGGTTTTGTTTTTGGGAACTCACGAGTAACTTTCCAGTGGGTCACCCATCATGGGATTGCTCTAGCCCTCTTCTCGCTTAACTTTAAAGTTCCTACGGAACCCGAAGCCAGTGAGCTCCCAAAAAGCTTCATGCTAGGTAGAGATGAGAATATACATATAAGGATCACTCTCCTGAGCGATGTGAGATGTCACACGCCATGCGCAATGCCATTTGTTTATGATCACTAATAAATAAAAAGGTTTCTATCACCTATAATTTTTGAAATTCACTTACTCTATTAAATTGAAAATCCAATCAATATAGTTCTAAAAATGATTGTTGCAAATTAATATGGTCATTCCGTCATAATTCTGTTAAAAATTCTATTCTTTATTCTTTGCTTATGTGCGCGTACTGGGTTCTACAAGTCTAATTAAATATTTTCATATAGATAAAAAATATAAATAAATGAAAAACGATTTTATCTTTGGCATAATTAAAACATTAAAAAGGGCAAAATAAAATAAAATAAATTCGTCTTCTAATGGGCCCACCTGGTACCCGGAAGACCGAAGACCCTTCTAGCTGGCACCACGGCCGCCGAGGTTGGGACGCCGTTTTATTTTTGTATAATGAAAAACATATTTACATAAAATCATTTCGAAAAGTAGATATGTATATGGATTTCATGCTATTAAGATTGAGAATGTTGTACCAATATTGGGCATGGTGACTAACCTGCAGGATTTAAACTCTGCCATCAACGAAGATAAATTTTAATAAATCGTCCCTCTATTTTTTGAAGAATACTATTAGTCAGATCTGAAATGATATTTGTCAATATTATTCAAATCCAACACAAAACTATGATTGGGAAATACTTAAGAATATGTTAGAAAGATCCTATGAATACAAGGGATATCATATTAAGAATAAAAAATAAACTTAAAGCTGGTAGAGTAAATCTTAAGCAGAAATATTTGAGGTGGGAATATTTTATGGAGGCAAAGGTTAGATAGAATCATTCTGCAGCCTGAAAAGGAATTCTGAATGCAAGATCCATTATTGAAGGGATGAAATGGATCATGGAAAATAGGAGGAACATTTTGTTCTGGACTCATAATTGGGTTTTTCGTTTCACTATCATTAACCTTCTCCAGGAAGATCAGTTAGTTCAACTACATTTAAGCCCTGAGGTAAGTCACTTTATTATAAATGGGGCTTGGAACAGATCCTTGTTACTCTCCTTATTTGCTCGCAAATTGGGAAGATGAGAAAACCAAGTTGTTTCAATTATGCAAAAGCTTATCCGGCTAGAGTGGTAACGCTGGCTTTAAATGTGGGAAATGATTATGGTAAACTTTGACGGCTCTGTGAGGAATTCGAACGCGGCGGCTGGCTTCATCGTCAGGAATGAAACCCGGTGATTGCTGGCGCTAGATCCCTAGGCAAAACCATTGTTAAGGTTGTGGAATGTCTGACGCTAAACTAGTGATCGATGCGGTTCGGGGCACGAGCGGTGTTCCCTGGCGGCTTCTGAGTATTATTGAGGACGTCAAGAATATTGCCAGGTCCTTTGAGTGTATCTCGTGGGCACATGTTTTTCGTGAAGCAAATTTTCTGGTAGATGTAGGCATTCAGTATGATACCTTCACATCTGCGATAGATCCTTACCGTCTTTTGCCTGTAAAGCCTATTATTTGATTGTATCGGAACTAGTTGTTCTCGGGGAGATTCTATTTAATAAAAGAAAAAACTCTGCCATCAACATCAGGCTTGGCGACAGTCACCTGTCGGTCAAACCTCCCAGGCCTCAACAACGCCGAACCAAGAACATCCGGCCTTCTCTCTCGCCACCCATCCCCGCCTCTTTGCCTCCTTACCTCATCTATCTCATCAATGAACACAATACACGGCGCCTTCAACTTGGCCTTCTCGAACAGGCCCAGCACTCTCAACACCCTCACTTCCCACAAACAACTCCACGAACTCCGAAGCCGCGCACGAGAAAAACATCGTCTTAGCCTCGCCGGCCACGGCACGAGTCAGAAGGGTTTTCACAATACAGATGGCCCCACCAGAAGAATTTTGAATTTTTTTTTCAAGTTTTTAACTATAAAAAAGATAAAATTGTTTTTTTTCATTATTTAATTTTTTTAATCTTCGTGGCAATATTTAATTAGACTTGTGGGATTTCGTATGTGGCACATAAGCACATAACTGAAGTTTTAATACAATTGTGACAAAAGGAACACATTGATTGACAACGCCTATTTTTAAGGAGTACATTGATTAATTTTTAATTTCAAGGACCATCTTAATAGAGTAGGTCAATTTTATGGACCATTTGTGGTTAAAACCCTAAATAAATGATAATCCATGGACATAAACAAATAAGGGGTTTTAGATCCAAGTCCAAAAACGTAGACTGTCTTTAGGAGTGAGTCCAGTTATCTAATTATATGTTTTTATTTCTTTTATACTCATTTTATATTTTCTAAAAATATTAAAAATCAATTAAAATTTTCTAATATTATGCATTTTCCAACTCCAAAAGAATATATTTAATATCTTATAACAAAAAAACTAATATACTAACATAAATTTATCTGCAAAACATTCTACCCTGACTCAAGTAACAAATATATGAATGTATATAATACCTATACGTGAGATATGAAACCTAATTAAAAGGTAGAAAACAACATAACATACCTACAAGCAAGACACATTAATCTGTGACAAGTTGATTATAAAAAAAGAATCTGTCATATAGGTAGATAATTACAATTAACCTGTGATATAGGTTGATTATAAAAATTAAAAATAAAATCTATAAATGGGGTTTAAAGTAGAAGGAAGAACGAGAAATAACATAAAGATAAATGAAAAGAAATAAGCAAAGAGATAATTGGGAAGAAATTTGATTTTTATAATAAATGTTATCATTGAACAGATAACTATTAATAATTAAATAATTAAATATAACAAATTGAACTTATTTTAATAAACTGGACTATTCCTACTATTGGCTCAAAAAATTGAACTTATATCAAGTTTCCCCAACAAAAATAAAGGTGTGCAGCAAGCAAAAAATATGTGCAGATATCACTTACAATATCATACAAAATTACCTAATCAAAAACACACATTATATACATGCGTATATGAATATACATATATATGGTACTTCGTTTTTTCTCCCTCAACAATTTTAGGGACTACCTCTACATTCAAGGGGTAAGTTGTCCAGCCATGAATCATCCAAAAGTGGGGCAGAAGAATCCAACTCAGTAGGCCATTGAGAACTTACATCGACTTCATCAAACACAATGGGTTTGCATTTCCCATCTCTGTGGTGATAAATAGACTGCAACCAAAGGTTGCAGTGTACGAAAACCAGATCATTGAATTTTTCCAGCTCTCCTCGGTTGTGCTTCTTGCTGTGCATGCTCTCGAAGGTGGTCCAGTTCCAACAGCACCAATGGGAGCTACATGGTTGGCTCAGTATCCGTATTGCACATCTCTGGATTGTGGGAATTTCATAACCATAACCTGCCCACCAATCTCCTGTAAATGTATGAGAAATGTTAGATACATACCCCACGTTTTTGAACAAATATAGACCAAAATAACAAAGAAGAGCTACTGTCCTATGACAGATGATTGGAGAAGAAAAAGACCATTAATCAGTCTTAAAGCTCGTTTGGGACTGTTATGGGAAACACTTTTGCTTATAAACGCTTTTACTAAAAGTCCTTTTCTTAGAAACAAGTTGAATTTTTTTATTAGAAACTCAGGCTCTTCCCGGAAAAGCACTTGGAAAGTGCTTCTCTATAAAGTGATCCTATAAAACAAAGAATTTTTTTAAAGTCTTTATGCCAAACGTAATCAAAAGAACTTTTTGTTGTTAGATGAAGCTTAACGCCATTCTAGAAGCATCACTAACAAGCCCTTAAAGGGGAACTGAGAAAGTACATGTTCAATACTCAAAATTGGTCTGTCAGACCTGTTCCACTTAACACAGAAATAAAAACAAGTAACAAAAAACGAAATAGTAATCAAGCAGGCCATAAGTAGTCAAATTGCATTATGTTGGCAACCATAATTATATAACCAGCACATGCTTCAAATTTTTTTATTTGATTAGTACTTTGATAATAATTGCAAGTTTACATACCTGGCGAATTCAGTGTCCTTCCCAGGATTGCAAAATCCGTCCCAAAAGCACCTTGTGCATTAACATACATAGGATGTTCTTTTGTTACTTCCATTCTATCGTCATGTGTGGTAGCCATCCTCAACATAGTTTCTTGAAATCCATTTCTCATCCTTAAATCAATCTTAAAGTTTGGACTGTAGAATACCGAAGGGTTAAGGGAAGCTGCCGCTGCATGCAAGGATGAGTGAAGCTGCATATTCCATCTCTGATCAATTATATCCCAGATCAGCATATATTTCTCTTCGATACCCTTATAATGGGTCTTTATTGCAACTTTTGCCCTCTCTATTCCTTCATACATGTACCCCATAGCTGGCATATCCCCATCAACAACCCTAAGTATTTTAAGTAGCGGTTCAGAAATACTCACAGCTTCTCGTGCATGCTTCCAAAATCTCTCTAAATACAACGACGACTTAATAGCTTGAGCCTCAGGGTGTCTACTGTATACTGAAGACAATGAAAACATATGCTTTAGATTGTCCTCCTGAATCACAATGGACCTCAAGGTGAGGAAATTAGTCACGAATCTAGTAATTTTTGGCCTTA